CAGTGGCACAATCTCAGCTCACGGCAATCTCCGCCTCCTGGGTTCAAGCGATCTCCCGCCTCAGTCTCCTGAGTAGCTGGGATTACAGGCACCTGCCACCATGCCCAGCTAATTTTTGTATTTTTAGTAGAGGTGGGGTTTCACCATATTGACCAAGCTGATCTCGAACTCTTGACCTCAAGTAATCTGCTTTCCTCGGCCTCCCAAAGTGCTGGGATGACAGGTGTAAGCCTCCGTGCCCAGTCCCAATTAAGTCATTCCTTTAGCAGATGTTCGTGTGAGGCCTGGTGCCAGGTGCTGGGTCTTCACTGAGAAGCAAAATTGGGACTGCATCCTGCACTCTGGAAGTGAACGTGGGTGGTGGGGCCGGCCGTGAACCAGATGCCCTTCCCAGTGATGGTTAAGTTCAGACCATGAGGGCGAGGGGCACGGTGCTGTGCAGGAGGGTAACAGAGTGGACCTTGACTTCTCTACAGGGGTCCGTGTGCATATTAGAGAAAGGTGCCTCTTTCTCTAGCCTGGCACTGTCTGCTGTGGTAGCCATGAATTTCATTCAATTTAAATGTCAACACTAGCTGTTAAAATGTAACTGAATTTTGCTGGACGCAGTGGCTCACACCTGTAATCCCAGCATTTTGGGAGGCTGAGGCCGGCAAATCACCTGAGGTCAGAAGTTCAAGACTGACCAACATGGAGAAACCTCGCTTCTACTAACAATGCAGAATTAGCTGGGTGTGGTGGCGGGTGCCTGTAGTCCCAGCTACTCCGGGGAGGCTGAGGCAGGGGAATTGCTTGAACCTGGGAGGTGGAGGTCGCGGTGAGTGGAGATCACACCATAGCACTCCAGCTTGGGCAATAAGAGCAAAATTTCATCTCAAAAAAAAATTTAACATAACTAAACAGACTTAAGAATTTTGTTTCTCAGCATACCGATCATATTTCAGGTGCTGAGTAGCTACCTATGGCCAGTGTCTGACCTCACTGGACACTGCAGTTCTAGAACATTTTCCTCCCTGCAGGGAAATCTAGTGGATGGTGTTCTGTCCCTTGATTTCCATCTGAAGGGCAGCTGTCATGATAAATGGACAGGTCTACCCTTAGATCTGGTACCTCTGTGCAGTGCACATCCTACCCAGCCACACAGGATGGCCCTGCTCAGTTTGATGAGTGGAGGAAGGGTTCTTTTTTTTTTTTCCTTTGAGACAGAGCGTCACGCACTGAAATACTCTGTCGCCCAGGCTGGAGTGCAGTTGGTGCGATCTCAGCTTACTGCAACCCCTGCCTCAGCCTCCAGAGCAGCTGGGATTACAGGCGCCCACCACCATGCCCAGCTCATTTTTTTGTATCTTTAGTAGCAACAGGGTTTCACCATGTTGCCCAGGCTGGTCTTGAACTCTTGGCCTCAAGTAGTCCTCCTGCTTTGTTCTTGCAAGGTGTTGGGATTACAGGCGTGAACCACCGCCCCAGCCAAGGCTTTTTGATGGTGATAATAGAGCTGGAAAATGACAGATAAGAATTCAGAAGTGAAAAGGGAAAGAGGCAGGAAGGGGATAGGGAGAGTATTCCAACAGCATGTGCAAAGTCTCTGTCACTTGAGGAATTAAAACCAATTTTTTTTTTTTTTTGAGACAGAGTCTCGCTCTGTCACCCAGGCTGGAGTGCAGTGGTGTGACCTCGGCTCACCACAACCTCCGTCTCCTGAGTAGCTGGGGTTACAGGCACAGACCATCACGCCCAGCTTATTTTTTTGTATTTTTTTTTTGTAGTAGAGACGGGGTTTCACCATGTTGGTCAGGCTGGTCTCGAACTCCTGATCTTGTGATCCACCTGTCTCGGCCCCCAAAAGTGCTGGGATTTACAGACGTGAGCCACCGCACCTGGTTGGTTTGTTTTTATTGTTTTCTTGAGACAGGATCTTCTCTGTTGCCCAGGCTGGAGTGCAGAGCTGTGATCATGGCTCACTGTAGACTGAGTATCCTGGGCTCAAGCAGTCCTCCTGCCTCAGCCTCCTGAGTAGCTAGTACCACAGGCGTGCACCACCATGCATATATATATATATATATATTTTTTTTTTTTTGTAGAGATGGGGTCTTGCTATGTTGCCCAGGCTGGTTTTAAACTCCTGGGCTCAAGCAATCCTCTTGCCTTGGCCTCCCAAACTGCTAAGATTACAGGCATGAGCCACTGTGCCCAGGCAACCTAAAGCCAGTCTGGGTGGTATAGAGTGACTGAGGGGGTCTGTGGTCCTGTGAGGCCTTGCAGGCTCTACTGTAAAGCGTGGTCCTGATTCCAGAGGGGAGTAGAAACCTTGGAAGGGTTTTAGCAGGAGATTGGCAAGGTCAGATGTGTAATTTTGGTTACACCACTTCCTGGCCGTGTGACCTTGGGCAATTACTTAACCTCTCTGTGCCACCGTTTCCGTATCTGTAAATGAGAGTTTCACACTGTAAGGATGTGCATGTAACATACTTCAAACTGTGGCTGGCACATAATAAGTGCTATGTAAATGTGCCCTATTATCATTGATGCTGATCGTAGTTACTGTTTGACAAGCTCTCTCTGGAAGCTGTGTAAAGAACCAATTGGCAGGGGATGGGGTGTGTGATGGGATTTGGGGAGAACACGGAGAAGGCTGTTGGGCTCACCCAGGCCGGACGAGATGTCGTGGCTGGCAGGCACTGAGATGGGGCCGGTGGGGAGAAGAGAGCTGGGTGAAGTGCCGGTCTGCTTGGAGGTGGAATCGGCAGGATTGATTGTGACAGGGAAAGGAGCAGCAGGGATCACGTGCGATGTACAGGTTTCTGGCTCGAAGCCTGGGATGATGGGAAGTTTCCAGAAGAGAATCAGGCTGGCAGTGGACATTTGATCGATGCAGGTTTCTTTCTCCTCCAGCTTTCCAACTGCAGCTCAGCCTGGGAATGGAATTTCTCAAGGTCACTCTGTAAGTCCCAGAACTGCTCGGCCAGCCTAGGCTGGAGGATTCGGGCACAGCCTGAGAACTTACTCCAGAGGAGGATTTTCTTGGCTTGATTCTTTCTCTTTTTCTTTTTTGTTGACATGGAGTTTCACTCTTGTTGCCCAGGCTGGAGTGCAATGGCGTGATCTTGGCTCACTGCAACTTCCGCCTCCTGGGTTCAAATGATTCTCCTGCCTCAGCCTCCCAAGTAGCTGGGATTACAGACATGCGCCACCATGCCTGGCTAATTTTTGTATTTGTAGTAGAGACGGGGTTTCTCCATGTTGGTCAGGCTGGTCTTGAATTCCTGACCTCAGATGATCCGCCTGCCTTGGCATCCCAAAGTGCTGGGATTACAGGTGTGAGCCACTGCACCCGGCTTTTTTCTTTTTTTTTTTTGAGACAGGGTCTCACTCTGTCTCCCAGGCTGGAGTGCAGTGGCACAATCATGATTCACTATAGCCTCAACCTCCTGAGCTCAAGTGATTCTCCTACCTCTACCTCCCAAGTAGCTGGGACCACAGGCATGCACCAGCATGCCTGGCTAATTAAAAAAAAAAAAATAAGGACAGCATGGTAGCTCATGCCTGTAACCCCAGCACTTTGGGAGGCCAAGGCGGGTGGATCACGAGGTCAGGAGTTCTAGGCCAGCTTGATCAACAAGGTGAAATCTGGTGTCTACTAAAAATACAAAAATTAGCTGGGCATGGTGGCAGGCACCTGTAGTCCCAGCTACTCAGGAGGCTGAGGCAGGAGAATCGCTTGAACCCAGGAGGCATAGGTTGTAGTGGGCTGAGATAGCGCCACTGCACTCCGGCCTGGTTACAGAGCGAGACTCTGTTTCAAAAAATAAATAAATAAGAAAGTAGCAGCTGGGCGCCGTGGTTTAAGCCTGTAATCCCAGCACTTTGGGAGGCTGAGGCGGGTGGATCACGAGGTCAAGAGATCGAGACCATCCTGGTCAACATGGTGAAAACCTGTCTCTACTAAAAATACAAAAAATTAGCTGGGCATGGTGGCGCGTGCCTGTAATCCCAGCTACTCAGGAGGCTGAGGCAGGAGAATTGCCTGAACCCAGGAGGCAGAGGTTGCAGTAAGCTGAGATCGCGCCATTGCACTCCAGCCTGGGTAATAAGAGCGAAACTCCATCTCAAAAAAAAAAAAAGTAGCAAGAGTAAAAGTTGGGGAACAGAAGCCCTGGGTAATTGTTTAAGGGAGAGATGAAGGTGGCTTCAGTGAGAAGATAGGAGATAGACAGGAGGGTGGATTCAAGTCAGATTCAGGGGTTTAGCAAGTGAACTTGCCAAAAGATTGGATATAGGGGTGATAAGAAGAGAATCTGCTAGGCACGGTGGCTCACGCCTGTAGTCTCACTTTGGGAGGCTGAGGTGGGTGGATCACTTGAGGTCAGGAGTTTGAGACCAGCCTGGTTAACATAGTGAAACCATAGTGAAACCCCATCTCTACTAAAAATACAAAAATTAGCTGAGTATGGTGGCGTGTGCCTGTCATCCTAGTTACTCAGCAGGCTGAGGCAGGAGAACCACCTGAACCCAGGAGGCGGAGGTTGTAGTGAGCCAAGATTGTGCCTCTGCCTACAGCCTGGGAGACAGAGCAAGACTCAAACAAAAAAAAAAAGAAAGATGAAGAAAAAAGGGCTGAACAAGGTGGCTAACAGCTGTAATCCCAGCACTTTGGGAGGCCAAGGTGGGCAGATCACATGAGGTCAGGAGTTGGAGACCAGCCTGGCCAATGTGATAAAACCCCCATCTTTACTAAAAATACAAAAATTAGCTGGGCATGGTGGTATGCATCTGTAATACCAGCTACTAGGGAGGCTGAGGCAGGAGAATTGCTTGAACCCGGGAGGTGGAGGTTGCAGTGAGCTGAGATTGTGCCATTACACTCCAGCCTAGGTGACAGAGTGAGACTCTGTTTCAAAAAGAAATAAATAAATGAAAGTATCTGGAAAGGATAGTGTCTCCACAATTCTTCCTTCATGCTGTGACCTCGCCCATCTTTTTCTCTTTGACTCTCCTCTTAGGCCCTGTATGACCCCATCAACCCTGACAGGGAGACCCTCGATCAGCCATCACTGACAGACCCCCAGCGTCTGTCCAATGAGCAGGAGGTGCTTCGGGCTCTGGAACCCCTTCTGGCCCAGGCCAACTTCTCCCCGTTGTCTGAGGACACCCTGGCCTACGCGCTGGTGGTCCATCACCCGCAGGATGAGGTCCAGGTACCTGGCTCCCCAGGAGTATGAAACTCCCAGGAGGCCTCTGGGGTGGGGCAGAGCCTCTGGGAGGCAGGGGCTGCTGGGAGTGTCCTGAGCCCAGGACACTGGCCCACGTGGTGCACTTGGTGAATTCAAATAAGGTACTACTTTTGGCCAGTTGCAGTGGCTCATGCCTATAATCCTAGCACTTTGGGAGACCGAGGTGGGCAAATCACCTGAGGTCAGGAGTTCAAGACCAGTCTGGCCAACATGGTGAAACCCCATCTCTGCTGAAAATGCAAATAATTATCTGGGCATGGTGGCGGGTGCCTGTAGTCCCAGTTACTGGGGAGGCTGAGGCAGGAGAATCTCTTGACCCCAGGAGGTGGAGGTTGCAGTGAACCGAGATCGTGCCATTGCACTCCAGCTTGGGTAACAAGAGCGAAACTCCCTCTCAGAAAAAAAAAAGAAGACGATGTTACTTTTTCAGGTCACTTCACTGCCATCTGTTGGAAAAGTATCATATGATATGGCTGTCTTAGGACTAGAGACTTTAGTGCCATCTGCCAGAATTGTAATAATAATCTAATACAAGGCTGGGTTCAGTGTCTCATTCCTGTAATCCCAGCATTCAGGAGGCCAAGGCATGAGGATCGCTTGAGCCAAGGATTTCCAGACCCGTCGAGGCAACACAGGGAGGCCCCATCTCTACAGAAAATACAAAAATTAGCTGGACCTGGTGGTGCGGGCCTGTAGTCCCAGCTACTCAGGAGGCTGAGGTGGGAGGATTGTTCGATCCCAGAAGTTTAAGACTGCAGTGAGCCGTGATCTTGCCACTGCCCTCTAGCCTGGATGACAAAGCGAGGCCCTGTCTCAAAACAAAACAAAACAAAAGCCAAACCCCAGAAAGCACGTAAAATGCTAACAAAATTATGAAAAATACTAAAAATGTCCGGGTGAGGTGGCTAATGCCTATAATCCCAGCACTTTGGGAGGCTGATGTCGGTGGTACACTTGAGGTCAGGAGTTTGCGACCAGCCTGGCCAACATAGCGAAACTCCGTTTCTACTAAAAATACAAAAGTAGCCGGGTGTGGTGGTGGGCATCTGTAGTCCCAGCTACTCGGGAGGCTGAGGCACGAGAATTTTTTGAACCCAGGAGACGGAGGCTACAGTGAGTTGAGATTGCGCCACTGTACTCCGGCCTGGGTGACAGAGTGAGACAATATCTCAAAATAAAAATAAAAACAAAAATACTAAAAGCTCCCAAAGTTTTACATTTTGGTGATTTTAAAATGCACTTTTTCCAAAGTCACGTTTTGTCATCTCTGAAATTGGGATGTGATTTACAAGTGACGGTGTGACATCATTGAATTGGCAGTGTATTTTTTTTTTTAGCTGCTTCATAAAATAATAGGGTAGAGTCAGTGACACCTTAGATTCTAGGAAATGCAGTCATAAAGATGACTACTACGTGAATGGTGCTGTGTTAGATGGTGTGCCCTTGTGCAGTGCACAATGTGGACAACCATATGTGGCAGCTCCACATAGACACTGAACTGAACGGTGATAAGTGGGAAAACGGGGTAAATTATCTCGTGGCGGGGCATCTGGTTCTGGTATCCTGCCCTCAGCACCCCGTGCATGTTCAGCTGTCACTGCTTCCTTCATCCCCCTGGCAGGTGACAGTAAATTTGGATCAGTATGTCTACATGCAGTTCTGGGCCCTGGGCCAGCGAGTCGGGCAGATGCCCCTGAAGTCCAGCGTGGGCTCCAGGCGTGGCTTCTTCACCAAGCTGCCTCCTGCAGAGAGGTGAGGCGGCCCTTGTTCCCCAGCTGCAGCGAGAGGGAGCAAGGTTAGAGTCAAGAGGGGACCGACAGGTCACTGTCTGGTGTGGGCATGTGGGCCCCGGGCGGGAAGTTGAGAAACGGGAGGCATGACTCATCCAGATGCTGCCTTTTCTTCCCAAGAAAGTGAGTACTGCACTCGATTCCCAGGGGAAGAGAAAGGGTGGGGACAGTTCTCCCCATTTTCCAGTAAGGAAAACCGAGGCTCAGAGAGGGGGGTCCACGTTCTGAAGCTGCGGCGTGGCCAGGATTCCGATGAACAACCTAACCTCCATGTCCAATACCAGGGATGGATCGAGCGATGGAACCAATCCCCTGTGGTTGGTTGGACACAGCTGATTTCTGATTTCTCCCCGCCCCCCCAACCCCTGCCATGACTGAGTCGCTTTTAAGATGGTTGTGGGACTGTAGAGCCAGAACTCGCATCCTGGGGTCAGAGGCCTCCCGGGGCAGCCCCGATCCTGCTCCTGCCTCTGTCTCTGTCGCTCAGGAGATACTTTAAGCGGGTGGTGCTGGCGGCCCGGACCAAACGGGGGCACCTGGTGCTGAAGAGCTTCAAGGACACGCCTCTGGAGGGCCTGGAGCAGCTGCTGCCTGAGCTGAAGGTGCGCACGCCCACCCTGCAGCGCGCCCTGCTCAACCTCACGCTGCTGGTCTCTGGTGTGGCCATCTTCGTCAACGTGGGCATGGTGGTGCTTACCGACCTCAAGGTGGCCACCTCGCTGCTGCTGTTGCTCTTCGCCGTCTTCATGGGCCTGCGGGCCTCCAAGGTGAGCGCGCACCTGCCGCGCCTCCTGCGGCCTTGCACTGTGGGGACCCGGTCAGGCCACCGACAGTTGTCTTGCATTTGTTCCCGGTCATGCTGTCCTCCCTCCCTCCTTCCCTTCTCTCCCTCCTTCCCTCCCTCCCTCCTTCCCTTCCTTCCTGTTTCCCCTTCCCCCTCTCCCTTCCTCCCTCCCTTCCTTCCCATTCTTCCTTGTTTTTCTCCCTTCCGTCCCTTCCCTCCCCCTTCCTTCCTCTCTTCCTACCTCCCTCCCTCCCTTCCTCCCTTCTCCCCTTTCCCTTCCCTTCATTCTTCCCCTTCCTCTCCCTCCCCTCCCCTTCCCCATTCCCCTTAGTTTCCCCTTCCCCCTCTTTTCCTCCCTTTCTTCCTTCCCATTCCTCTTTTTCTTCTCTTTCTTCCCTCCCTCTCTCCATCTCCTTCCTTCTTGCCCTCTCCTCTGCTCCACTCCTCTCCCTTTCCTTCCCTTCCCTACTTCATTTACTTAACACCCCTTGGGTGGATTTCTTAATCTCTCCAAGCCTCAGTTTTCTCATCTGGAAAATGGGGATGATAGTGAGATCTGCCTGGTAGGGTTGTGAGTGTGAAATGAGCATCTGTGGGAAGCACTGGGCAGTGCCCAGCTCATGGCATGGCTACATAAGAGCTGACAGCCCCTCACTGAGTGCCAGCTTTAGGGGGCTTTAGTGATGCGGTGAAGGGGTGTGTTCCTGGATTTGAATCTGACTCTACTGCCTTCTGGCTGTGTGATCTTGAGCAAGTTGCTTAACCTCTCTATGCCTCAGCTCAAACATCTGCAAAGTGGGGAGGATGATGGGACCTAACTCATAGGGGTGTTGCGGGATCAATGAAAGAACACGCACGCAGTGCTGAGGACAGAACCTCCCACACAGCGCAGGAAGTACTATGTGAGAGTTAGCTATTACCAGCACCATGATGATTGTCATTGCTAATTGGGCTGTTGGTTCCAAGTCACCATCCTGACTGGATTTATCACTGGGGGAGCTGGCTGACAAATGCAGCCTCCTGGGCGCCAGTCCTAGCGGACTGAATTGGAAACTCTGGGACTGGGGCCCAGGGAACTATATTTTTTAACAAGCTCCCTTTTGATTCTGCTACACGTGAGTGCCAGGCTGCCTTGAACAGTTGCACAAGTTGTTCACCATCCAAGAATTCGTGGCCGGGAGGCCAGGTGGGGGCTGACACCCAACTTGCGCTCCATTTGCCAAAACGTGTGTCTTGTCTCGAGCCTGAGTCAGCCCAGAGGGGAGCTGCCTTGTACTGACTCTCCCCGGGGTTGGCACTGGCCCCAGGAGTGTAGACTGGTGTGAGGCATCTGCTGCACCCCATCATTCACCTGCTGGCTCATTGGTTTTCAAGCTGTTTTCAGCCATGCTGACAAGCTCTGAGGAAGGCTGGTGATAAATCCTGCAGATAATAGCCAGGCTGCGGCCGCCTGAGAGGGTGCTGGGATACTCAGCCGAGAGGGGCTGGGGAGGGAGCAGTTTCTGCCTGGGACCAGGGCTCAGGCAGGATCTGAGGAAAGCTCTGGGAGAGGGGGGTTGAGCCTGGTGGGGAAAGGGCCCTCGAGCTCAGCCTGGCTCAGCCTGGTGTATCTCACGGGGCTAGATCCAGCGAGCAGGGGAGAGGGGGAGGCCCCAGAGGGTGACAAGGGCCTCAGATACCCAGAGCGGTGCCTTCAGCTTTATCCTCAGAGCAGCAGGGTGCGGTGGAAGGGGTGTAAGCATGAAGGGACAGCTGTGACCCGGGAGGACAGGGGCAAGGGCCAGATGAGAGGCAAGGAGGCCGGTGTCTCTGGGGAGAACACACTGAGTCCCAGGCTACAGTGGCCCCACTGCTTGGTGGCCCCAGGGGGTGCTGTCAGGCTCTGAAAGACCCCATTTCAAACCCAGTTCACACCAGGCATGGTGGCACATGCCTGTATCCTAGCTACTCCGGAGGCCAAGGTGGGAGGATCGCTTGAGCCTGGAGTTGGAGTCCAGCTTGGGCAACATAGTGAAACCCTAAATCCAAAAATAACAAGAAAAGCCCAGTTGCGAGTTAATTTAGTGCATTCATGAGGCATTTCCCCACACCCTGGGCTGAGGCGCAGCCTTTACATGCAGGCCCTTCACCAGGTGCAGTAGCTCGTGCCTGTAATCCCAGCACTTTGGGAGGCCAAGGCGGGCAGATCACATGAAGCCAGGAGTTCAAGACTAGCCTGGTCAACATGGCAAAACCCTGTCTCTACAAAAAAATACAAAAATTATCCGGGCGTGGTGGTGCACGCCCATAATCCCAGCTACTTGGGAGGCTGAGGCAGGCGAATCCTTTGAACTCGGGAGGTTGAGGTTGCAGTGAGCCGAGATTGTGCCACTGCACTCCAGCCTGGTGAAAGAGCGAGACTCCGCCTCAAAAAAAAACAAGCAAAAAAACAGTGGGCCTTCTCAGACTTGCTCCTGTCTGGTCCCCCTCCTGCACTCCCAGATAACTGTGCTCACTGCAAGCCCCTTTCCTAGGCCCTAAACCCGGCTCCCTCTGTTCCCTGATGCACCCAAACCCTCTCCATGTGCAGCAGCACGTTCTCACGAACCCAGAGTGCAGCTGCCCCAAACTCCCTCCTCCTCTCAAGTTCCCCATCTCACCTCAGAACGGGCACTCAGAGCCCTGCTGCAGGATGCGGGATGTGGAACGTGGGGTGCGGGGTGCAGGGTCTTTCTTCCAGGATGCAGGGCTCCTCTGCTTCTGCAGTTTCCACATGAGCTCTCTACTGTCCACAATCAGATCAACCTGGATGTTCCAGGCTCTGGGCTGGGCCCCTCACGCTCGCTGCAGGCCAAGCACAGCATCTACCCTGACACCTTCTCTTCTGGGTTCTGCATCTGTGGATGGCCTGTCGGCTCCCCAGTCACTGGCTAGACCCCCAGCGTGCCCTTCCTGCCTCACCTGTGTTCCCCGACCCGGCCTCTTCCCGGCTTCCAGTGGGTCCCTTCCAGCCCATTCCCCACTTGACCCAGAACTGTCCTGCCCCTCCCCTGGGCACAGTCTGGTGCTGGAGACCCTGCTTCCCAGCCTCACTGGACACAATCCTTGCCCTCGAATCTGCGCCTCAGCTCCTCCTGCGTGCTGTGGCACCTCCACCCTGCCACCCCTTGCTCTCTGCCTTTGCCTGTGGTGTTCTCTTGGAGTGAAGTATCCTTCCCACTTGTTGGGCTGACCAGTCCCTGCTCACCCCTAACCCTCAGCTCAGAGGTTGCCTGCCCTGGGAGGCCTTTCTGGATGTCCCATGCTGGGGCGATGGCCCTGTAGGCGCCTCCATACTCTGGGCTCCACTGTGAAGCTCCTTTAGCTCAGCACAGAGCAGGCCCCTGGGGCAGCCTGGGGAGGGTTGTTGAAGTGGTGCCCCTGAGATGCAGCGGCTGGATTCTGCCCTGGAGGGAGAGGCACAGGAGCCCAGGGCAGCATCTGCTCATCCACAAGGTGATGTCTATCCTGAACCTTGAGGATGAGGCAATGAACGTTTTCTCCAAGAACACACCAGGGGTGCCTTGGCCCCTCTCCCTGTCCTCCCCGGTCACAGCTGTCCCTCCGGGCCCAGCCCGGAGGCCTGAGAGAGCAGCGCCTGTTCAGGGTAAACTGGCTTATTCACCGTAGGCCATTCAGAGGGGAGGAGCAGGAGGTGACGGTGAGAGCCTCATGTGCTGAGCCACAGAGGTTGGACTCTCTGAGAGCACTGGGGAGCCATGGGAGAATCTTGAGAGGAGGGGAAGGGCCAGCTCCGAACCTGTGTGCAGACAAACTGGACGGGGGAGACTGAGGCCAGAAGGAGGCTGGGGTGATGCAGGGGAGGGTAAAGTCTGAGCCGAGACTGAGACGGGAGCTGCAGAGGAGGAAGGGCAGAGTCAGGGGACAGCAGGGTGGGGCTGGACTGGCATATGGGCAGAGAGGGAGCAAGGATGGTACTAGGGCTCTGGCCCATGACCGAGTAGATGGAGGGGCTGCCCAGGACATAGATCCCAGGCTAGGAGGAGCTGTTGCTGTGCTCATTCGCTGTGGGCCGTGGTGAGTGCTGAAGGGAACCTGCAGGGCAGGGGGACCCCTCTCCAGGGAGACTCTGGGTTCCTCTGTGTGCCATGGAGTGACCTGCTTCTTTAATTAGAATTCAGCTCCATCGGCCTGGCAGATACGGACACAGATCAAATGTGTTTTTCATAGCACACGGTCCCTAATGCACGCTATTCCTGCATCTTGCCCTCAACCCAAGAAATTGATTCGTTCCAATGCAGGCACATCCTTATAAGAAGACGGTACAGTCCACATGCAAGTGTGTCATTGATACCATGCAGGCCATTTCAGTGATTTTCTGGGGCATGCTGACTTGAAAGACATTTCATCTCAGGCCTCAATGTAAGATGGGAACACTCGGCTGACTGCAGAGGCTCACACCTGTAATCCCAGCACTTTGGGAGGCCGAGGTAGGCAGATCACCTGAGGTCAGGAGTTCAAGACCAGCCTGACCAACATGGAGAAACCCATCTCTACTAAAAATACAAAATTAGCCAGGCGTGATGGTGCATGCCTGTAATTCCAGGTACTCGGGAGGCTGAGGCAGGAGAATCGCTTGAACCCGGGAGGCAGAGGTTGTGGTGAGTTAGGATTGTGTCACTGTGCTCCAGCCTGGATGACAGAGTGAAACTCCATCTCAAAAAAAAAAAAAAAAAGAAAAAGAAAAAAAATGGGTGCACTCTCTGGGCACCCAGCACAGGGTGTGGATGACTGTTCCATAGTAGCTGATGTTTGGTGAGTGTTTCTGAGGGGCCAGGCTCTGCCCCAGTGTTGTATTCACTGTGTATTGGCTTCCTGAACCCTCCCTGGCATCGGCACTGTTTTGCAGGTCTTACCAAGGGCTCGCAGCTGGTAAGGGCATACTGGAGTCAGGCAGCCAGGCCTGCCAGCTAGAGGATCCAGTGGCCCTGAGCTCATTTTGTGGCTGAATGGAGGAATCTGGGTACAGGTTTTCTTTCTTCTTTTTTTTTTGAAACACAGTTTCACTCTGTCGCCCAGGCTGAAGTGCAGTGGCACAATCTGGACTCACCTCACTGTAATGTCCACCTCCCAGGTTCAAGCGATTTTCCTACCTCAGCCTCCTGAGTAACTGCAATTACAGGCAAATGCCTCCACACCTGGCTCATTTTTATATTTTTATTTGTTTATTTTTTGAGACAGAGTCTTGCTCTGTCATCCAAACTGATCTCAGCTCACTGCAACCTCCGCCTCTCGAGTTCAAGTGATTCTCCTGCCTCAGTCTCCCAAGTAGCTGTGATTACAGGCACCCTGCCACCACACCTGGCTATTTTTTTTTTTTTTTTGTATTTTTAGTAGAGATGAGGTTTCATCATGTTGGCCAAGCTGGTTTCGAGCCCCTGACCTCAAGTTATGTGCCCATCTCGGCCTCCCAAAGTGCGAGAATTATAGGCATGAGCCACCATTTCAGGCCTCATTTTTGTATTTTTAGTAGAGACGGGGTTGGGGTTTCACCATGTTGGTGAGGATGACTTAACTCCTGACCTCAAGCAATCTGCCCTCCTTGGCTTCCCAAAGTGCTGGGATTACAGGTGTGAGCCACCATGTCTGGCCTGGGCACAGGTTTTCAGTGAGAGCCCAGAGGGCACTGATGCCCTCATTCCTTACCAACACCAATGATGAGAACAGGGCTCTGAGCAAGGAGAGTAATGGGGAAGGGGGCAGCCAGGAGACAGTGGGGCCCCGACCTGCTCTTCTCCCCACCATCCTTCACCTCTCCTCCTCTCTTTACAATTTATTTATTTATTTTTTTGGAGACCAGGGTCTCACTCTGTTGCCCAGCCTGGAGTGCAGTGGCATGATCATGGCTCACTGCAGCCTCAGCCTCCTGGTTTCAAGCGATCCTCCTGCCTCAGCCTCCTGAGTAGCTGGGACTACAGGCGCGTTCACCATCACACCCAGCTAACTTTTTTTAAAAAAATTGTTTTTTGTAGACACAAAGCTTTTACCATGTTGCCCAAGCTGGTCTTGAACTCCTGGGCTCAGGCGATCCTCCCTCCTTGGCATCTCACTTGTTGGGATTATAGGCATGAGCCACTGTACTTGGTCTACAGTTTAATATTTTAAATTTTTTTTTTTTCATTATGGAAAAGTTCAGACAAATACAGAAATAGAATAATATGATAAACTCCATTAGCCAGCACCCAACATCAACAATTAGCCATAGTCAATCAGATTTCCCCTAAAGGCTGGGCGCGGTGGCTCACGCCTATAATCCCAGCACTTTGGGAGGCTGAGGTGGGTGGATCACGAGGTCAAGAGATCGAGACCATCCTGGTCAACGAGGTGAAACCCCGTCTCTACTAAAAATACAAAAATAGCTGGGCATGGTGGTGCGCACCTGTAGTCCCAGCTACTTGAGAGGCTGAGGCAGGAGAATTGCTTGAACCCAGAAGGTGGAGGTTGCGGTGAGCTGAGATTGTGCCATTGCACTCCAGTCTGGGTAACAACAGTGAAACTCCGTCTCAAAAAAAAAGAAAAAAAAATTTCCCCTAAAGACCCTACTCTCCCACTATTTGATGGTTTATGGTTTTGAAGCAAATCCTACCTAGACTTACCTGGAAATACTTTATTATGTCTCTAAAACAAAAGAATTTATTGTTAACAAAATCTTTTTTTTTTTTTTTTTTTTTAGACAATCTTACTCTCAAAGTGAATCTCCTGCCTCAGCCTCCCCAGTAGTTGGGATTACAGGCATGTCCCACCACGCCCGGCTAATTTTTTTGTATTTTTAGTAGAGACAGGGATTCACCGTGTTAGCCAGGATGGTCTCGATTTCCTGACCTTGTGATCCGCCCGCCTTGGCCTCCCACAGTGCTGGGATTACAGGCATGTGCCACCGCACTGGGCCTGTAACAAAATCTTTCAAAGCTTAAACGCCCATCATCTGCAAATTTTTGGGCAAATCCATTAATACTTGGCTCAGATGAGCAAGCCAGTGCAGTGGTTGCTAAAAAGTTTTGCCAATGGGGCTGGTGGTCTCCTAGCCACTGGAACCCTCGAGGGCAAGTGTATTAAAAATACAGACCTCTGGCCGGTGCCTTGGGTCACACCTGTAACCCCAGCACTGTGGGAGGCTGAGAAGCGAGGATTGCTCCAGACTGGGAGTTTGAGACCAGCCTGGGCAACACGGAGAACCCCATCTTTACAAAAAATACCGGGTTTGGTGGCACACACCTGTAGTCCCAGCTACTTAGAAGGCCTAGGTGGGAGGATCGCTTAAGCCCAGGAGTTCCGGCTTCAGTGCGCTATGAGTTGCCTGGGAATAGCCACTAACTCCAGACTAGGCGACAGAGTGAGACTGTGTCAGTTTAAAAAAAAAAAAGAAGAAGAAGAAAGGAGGAAGGAAAGGAAAGAAAAACCACAGACAGACAGATCCCCCGACTGAGCTCTGGGGACCCTTACTGAAGAGGTCTGGGTAGGACCTCCTCGCTTCCCCAGTGGAGTATGCGGCATGAGCCTGCCAGCGTGGGTGACCCCGGGGGCTGTGTATGGGTGGGGGCGCACTCCGAACTGAGTCCACAGGGCACTGTCCCTCCTGCAGATGTTTGGGCAGCGGCGCAGCGCACAGGCGCTGGAGCTGGCGCACATGCTCTACTACCGCAGCACGTCCAACAACTCGGAGCTGCTCAGCGCCCTGGCCCTGCGCGCGCAGGATGAGCACACCAAGGAGGCGCTGCTGGCTCACAGCTTCCTGGCCCGGCGGCCAGGGGGCACGCCAGGCCCGCTCAAAGGTAGGACGTCGCCTTGAGACCCTGCGCCCAGGGGCCACACCCCTGTGAGGCCCCGCCCCAGCGAGACACGTCCCCACCCCCACTTCCCACGGGTAGACCTGACGGATTTACGAAGAGACCCGGTCTCAGCAGATAGGACCTCCGAATCCAACCTCCGATCTTGGTCCCTGATGTGACCGCCCTCTCCTGACCTCAGCCTGGTTGGGACCCTTGTCTCAATGGCACGGCCCCCTCCTGGCACTCTTTCCTCCACCTGAGCTCACACTCTCCCTACGAGAGAACCTGCGCGCTTCCTATGTGGGCCCCAAGTGGTCCCCTTCCCTTCAGGAGCCCCCACCTTACCTGCCCAGGAACCTCTGACTTGTCCCCAGACAATAGCCCCAGAGCTGGACCTTCTGACCCTCTTGAGCCTCCCCAGCCTTGTTCTGCTCCCCTTCAAGCTTCAAGTTCACCTCTAGACTTCTCCTAAACCCAGGCCCTTCCTATTCTTTGCCCTACCTCTCCTTGTTGATACCCCGAATCTTTCCCGATCTCAATGTGACCTCGGAACACCTGCCTCTCCCCTTGCAGAGACCTCCACGTGGCTCCGGTCAGAGGTGGAGAACTGGCTTCTAGCCAAGTCAGGCTGTGAGGTAGCCTTCAACGGAACTCGGGCCTTGGCTCATCTGCAGGCCCTGACCCCCAGCATGGGATTGTTCCCACCCCCGGGTTTCCCCAAACTAGACCTATTGGCTCCAATCACTTCCGAACCCCCGCAGGCCACACCCAGCAGTAACAACCCCTGAGTAGAACCTACCTCCCTGCCCAGTAAGCAGGCTAGGAACCAAGCCCCGCCTCCTTCACGACAGGCTGTCATTACGGTTATACTTTTCTACTCCAACTTCTAATAACTGACAGGTAATTATTTTTGCTACACTGTGTGCTTAAGCGAAGCAGCCAATCAAAATAGCCAGCAGTTGCTAAGTTACCCCCGCCCCTTTGATGAACAGCCAATCAAAGCGATTTAGCTCTGCTTCTATTTCATTTCTTAGTCCCACATATACCATAAACATCCGAATGTGGGTTGGCTGAAGAGCTGGGGTGTCTGCCAATCACAGCTGCTCGACTCTGGCTTCTGCAAACTGCCAGGTAGGGTTGTTAAAACCATGCCCTCCCGAGACTATATATCATTGTCTTTTTTAGCCCTCTCCAGGCAAACTGCCCATCATGTGCACCAAGGCCGTTTAGCCCTGCCTCCTGGCAAATGGCCAGTGACAGCTGCTGGGTTCCATCAACCTTGGGCAGCCGGTTGTCGCTGCAGGGAAGCAACCAATAACAATTTCTAAAGGAAACCTGATCTTGCTATCAATTGCTGCTGCTTATATGGCAGGCCAGCTGGTCAGCTGCTGATCAGGGTGTCTAGGCTGAAAGGGTTAGGGGACCTCGTGCTAGGTAGGTGAACCAGAAACCACCCTCGCCGCCAAGACTCGCTCCCAACCTGGCTCCCCAGCAATCTCAGGTGCCTTCCTCGCCCAGGTCCTTTACCCTTTCTACAGAAACTACCTCAGTCTGGATCTCTCCCAGCAGCAGCCTGTGCAATATTTATTGGTCTATCAGTTTCTCCCCCGTCTCTCCTCTCCCAAAGTAATAAATCATGTTTAATAAGTCTGGATGAGGCTACTCTCAACACATGGCCTTTAGGATAGCTGTAAGAGTGGTTAAAAAGTTACTTAAAAAAAAAATATCTGGCCGGGTGCAGTGGCTCAAGCCTGTAATCCCAGCACTTTGGGAGGCCAAGGCGAGTGGATCACGAGGTCAAGAGATCGAGACCATCCTGGTCAACATGGTGAAAACCCATCTCTACTGAAAATACAAAAAATGAGCTGGGCATGGTGGCACATGCCTGTAATCCCAGCTACTCAGGAGACTGAGGCAGGAGAATTGCCTGAACCCAGGAGGCGGAGGTTGCGGTGAGCCGAGATCATGCCATTGCACTCCAGCCTGGGTAACAAGAGTGAAACTCCGTCTCAAAAAAAAAAAAAAAAAAAATATCTGAACGAGTGGGATGGCTGTAGGAGTTGGAGGGAAGGAAAGCATTTGAATCCTGGAAAAAAGGAGGGACTCTAACCAGGTCTTGGGGTCCTAGACAGAGAAAGCTATAGTCCTAAAGAGATGCCTGGGTTTGAGGTTGGTGAAACAAAGATGGTCACAGAAGAGGAATTTTTTTTTTTTTTTGAGGCAGAGTTTCGATCTTGTTGCCCAGGCTGGAATGCAATTGTTGGGGTCCGGCACGTCTGCCAGGGGGCTACTGACCTGTGGGAGTCCCCGAGACCGCCAACATAGATGTCTCGTTCAACCTGAGGGAGAGAGTGCGTGGAAGTGAAAGAAAAGAGAAAAGCGGAGTCTGGAGGGCTGGCTTAGGCTATGTCCAAGCAGCAATTTTATTTTTGCAATATGTTCCATTATATACTTTTCTGAAGTTAATGTTATTTATGCCAGATCAACATACTTAAGTTACAGTAAGCAAGTTACGCCCACTAAGTTACGCCCAGCAAGTAAGTTATGCCCAGTAAGTTACAGTCACGCCCAGTAAGTTACCGTAAGTTACCAAGTGTAAAGACTTAAGTTAATATTTTACAATGAAGGTAACAAGGGTCCAAAATGAACACAATCAAGCAATAAACCATAAAGAGCCAAAAGTGGACACAATGCCACCCAAGTCCTCATATCCATAAAATAATGTCTGTTAATTATTTTGAATAGCATAGTCCTTCTCTCGGTTCCTGCTTTCCCTCAGCTCGACTCCCCCAACCGGGGATCTGTGTCCCGGCTCAAGCTCATCGTATGGCGAGGCGCATTTCCTAGGGGCCTCACATGGGAGCGATCCCCACAGATCCCTCATGCAATGGCACGATCTCGGTTCACTGCAACCTCCGTCTCCCAGGTTCAAGCGATTCTCCTGCCTCAGCCTCCAGAGTACCTGGGATTACAGGCATGCACCACTATGCCTGGCTAATTTTGTATTTTTAGTAGAGATGGGGGTTCTCCATTTTGGTCAGGCTGGCCTTGAACTCCTACACCTCAGGTGATCGCCACCCGGCCTCCCAATGTCCTTGGATTACGGGCGTGAGCCACCCCGCCAGGCTGGAAGAGGATCTTAGAAGGGCCTGATTCCTGAGGAGTCTCAGGACCTGATGAACAGAGGAGATAGGGTAGTCATGTACAGTTGTGCAGATTTTTTTTTTTAAGAGGGTGTCTTGCTCTGTCACCCAGACAAGGGAAAGCCCAGGCTCTTAGATCTGTGGGAGGGAAGAGGTGCCTGTGTCGGGGCTCCTGTGTTTTCGGGAGGAAGGGGTTGGGAGCTGGGAGATGAACATTCTGAGGGCTGAGCAGCTGGTAGTGGGGACCACAGCCTGGGTCCCGGGAAGCAGAAGGAAGGAAGGAAGGAGATCAAAGCGGAGCCCGCGGTTAAACAGTTTTATTTTTCTGGAGGGCGCGCGCGTGGGGCTGGGAGCGGGTGGAGGCGGCCGGGCGAGGCGGGGCGCTCACTCCCGCTTCCGCAGGTGGATGTAGATGATCCCGCTGACCAGGGCGAGGGGGAAGGCCACCCAGGCCAGGGCGAAGCAGTAACCGAAGCTGCCCCCTGGCGGGTGCTTCACCAGGATCTCCTCGGCGTGAATGGCGTAGATCAGGGCCCCGGTAAACACCGCCACGCCTGGAGAAGACGGAAACCATGCGTCACGCAGTACCCTCCAGGAAGACTACATTTCCCAACATCCCCGGGGGGCAAAGAAGCGCCAGAGGGCGAGTGGGCAGCGCTGCTGCCTGCTGGGAGTTGTTCTCTCCCCAGCGCCGTGCAACTGCAGCGCGGCCTTGGGTGACTGATTTAATAATCTCTCTAGGTCGCATTTGCCCTTCCATAAAATGGGACTATATCTCTCTGTCCATCCAAGGAATATTTTCGAGTGTGTTTCTATAAGCCAAACATGCAATCGTAGATTAATAAAGCAAGAGAGAGGCTTTGCAAGAACCTAGGGAGATGCTTCCCAAACTGAGGACTATGATTAAGTTAGCCCTTTGCACCTGAAGTCAAAATATTGAAAAATAAGCAAAACTCCCTGAAGTGTCTGATGCACAATATGCACGCTAGATACAGCGGTTGGCTGACAGAAATACCATTACTCTTATAATTCAGAGAACTCTACTGAGGTGCTAATTAGCTTATCCCCCCACCTCGCCCCCAGTCCCTGGGATCGAAACTATTTACCTGTTACCAAAACTACGAAACTTCTTCCCCAGCCCTGGCTCCCTGAAGCCCTAAGTTCCCTAATGACTCATAAGCACAAGCCACAACTATCATTAGCCACTGAAAACTACAAGTCCCAGCAATCCCTGGGGGCAGAGAGGTAGCCCACAGAGGCACCTCCTGTGGCTCCTGGGGTGTTGAAAATTGTTTTCTTCTACAAGAGGCCCATGCTCAGGGCCCCCAGCATCCTGATGCACCCCACTCCCTTCCGCTCAATTCTTGGGGGGTTAGGGGTGGGGAGGGGCAGTGCTCACTGGTACAAAGCTGGCAGAGGCCAGTGGCATAGAAGAGGCCTCCTCGTCGCATGGTGTAGAGCTGGAACATGAACAGGATGAAGGACAGACAGCAGAGGATGAGGGAGAGCACCATGAGGACCTGCACCGCCTTCAGCCAGCCTGCAGTAAGGAGGACACAGAGGGGACGTCACGGTGGGTCCCGAGTTCCAGCTCAACCTGCTTGCTCACCATGTGACCCTTCTCTGCCCCATCCCTGCTCCCCTTTAGAGCCATACAAGCTTAGACACTTAGATGTATCACTTACATTGACCTTGAGCCCTGTGACCTTGCTAAATTCTCTTCTCAGTTCTAGTAGTTGCTTTGCAGATTTTTTTTTTTTTTTTTTTTTGAGACCAGGTCTTGCTCTGTCATCCAAGCTGGAGGGCAGTGGCACAATCATGGTTTACTGTAGCCTCATCCTCCTGGCCTCAAGCAATCCTCTCACCCGTCGTCCCAAGAAGCTGGGACCACAGGCACAAGCCACCACACCTGGGTAATTTTAAAATTTTTTTGTAGAGACAGGGTCTCCCTATGTTGCCCAGGCTGGTCTTGAACACTGGGGCTCAAGTGATCACCCCTCCTCAGCTTCCCAAGGTGCTGGGATTACAGGCATGAGCCACTGTGCCTGTCCACTTTGCAGAATTTTACAGGATTTTCTACATAAACAGTATGTTTAGTGGGAATAGAGACACTTTTCCCTAATTCATTTCCCAGGACTTTAATTTCTTTTTCTTAACTTGTTGCACTGGCAACTCCAGCAAAACATTGAATAGAAGTGGTGAGTGCAGGCCACATGCTTTAATCTGAGTTTTGCATTAAATCTTTCACACAGAATTTCACATAGATGCAGCATATCTATAACTTTACTTTAGACCTCCAATGCACCTGGCCCCACTCCTTTAAACCCCTTTTTTTTTTTTTTGAGATGGAGTCTTATTCCTGTTGTGCAGGCTGGAGTGCAGTGGTGCAATCTTGGCTCACTGCAACCTTTACTTCCTGGGTTCAAATGATTCTCCTTTCTCAGCTTCCCGAGTAGTTGGGATTACAGGAGTGCACCACCACGCCTGGCTAATTTTTGTATTTTTAGTAAAGTTGAGGTTTCACAGTGTTGGCCAGCTACGCTCGAACTCCTGACCTCAGGTGATCCACCCGCCTTAGCTTCCCAAAGTGCTGGGATTACAGGCATGAGCCACTGTGCCCAGCCCCCTTTAGAACCTTAAAGTGGTTTCAGCCCCATCCCCTGGGAACTTGGATAAATTGGTCCCAAGCATCCATTCAGAGCACCATCCCCATCTCCTTAGAGCTTTGGAAACATAATTTAGTCTTCTCAGAATCTTGGGAGCTTTCTTTCTGTTCCTTAAACCTATAGCATGCCATCTCACCCTTTCTGAGTCAGAGGACGAGGCTTTTATCTATATGGCCTCTTCAAAACAGGAGGTACTGGCTGAGCACAGTGGCTCACGCCTGTAATCCCAGCACTTTGGGAGGCTGAGGCAGGTGGATCACCTGAGGTCAGGAGTTTGAGACCAGCCTGGCTAATGTGGTGAAACCCCCGTCTCTACTAAAAATACAAAATTGGCCAGGGGTGGTGGTGCACACCTGCACTCCCAGCTGCTCTCAGGAGGCTGAGGCAGGAGAATCGCTTGAACCTGGGAGGCAGAGGTTGCAGTGAGCCGAGATAGAGCCACTGTACTCCAACCTGGGCAAGAGCAGCAAAATTCTGTCTCAAAAAAAAAAAAAAAAGAACAAGAGGTAGGTACATCCAGACAGGTGGGACATGCATCAGCCCTAGGCACTCAGCCACTCAGGCCAGGACCTCACCCACTCCATCTTTAAGGGCTTCCCAATTCTCTGTCCTCTGAGGACACTAGGGGTTTCCTTCCCCTTTGCAGACCAGTCCCGCCCCCTCACCCCTCACCATTCTCGCTGACGTTACTGCAGGCCCATGTTTTGTTTTCGTTGTTCCACGTGCAGTCATACCAGAGATTCAGGGACTCTTTCCCAGGGAGAGTCCACCAGGACTGGGATGGACAGAGAATGAAACAAGGGGCAGGGTTAAGGAAGGAGAGGGGACAGGGTCAGAGAGACT